ATATAGATTAGATATAGATATAGATGATATAGATATTGGTATAGCTATTGATGATATAGATATAGGTATGTTTTTATGTAGAAATATTACCGTATTTTTTGATGGGAGAGATCATTTCTACTTGTAATTTATGTTATATGGGGTTTAGTATTTTCTGCATTACTGATGAATCCCAGTCTTAATGGGCCTAGAATTTAATATTTTCGCTGAAAACAATGTCAGTGTTCACTACACAGATTGATTAAGATCCGTAGAAGTGGTGAGTAGTAACAAACAAGCCATGGCTTGATTCCGCGTGTCTCTCCCTCCCCCACCCCCCGCCCCGCACCATAGGACATTCAGAGTTAAAGAGTATCAACTCATCTTCAGCCATAACTTAAGTTTAAGAAAGTTTCTCAAGTGCTGACTTTGTTCTATGATAATACTTTGATTCTCTAGTTTTTTTTAATTTTAAAAATATATATTTTATTGATTTTTTTTTAACAGAGAGGAAGGGAGAGAGAGAGTTAGAAACATTGATGAGAGAGAAACATCAGTCAGCTGCCTCCCGCAACTAAGGTACATGCCTTTGACCTGAATTGAACCTGGGACCCTTGAGTCTACAGGCCAACGCTCTATCTACTGAGGTTAGGGTTCTCTGGGGGTTTTTAAAAATAAAGTTTTTAAATATTGACTTCAATGCGCCTGCTTTCCATGGACCTTAAGCATTCATCTACTCTTTCTGTTGGGTAAGCCCACCATGGCCCATTCCATTTATATAAATAAATCAAGATTTGGGAGATTCAGGGTTGAGTTTTATAACTCTTCGCTTTGCCCAGTACTAGCAATGGCAATTCATTTAGTCTCTTTACTAGTTGATCTATTTTTTAAAACATTACCATAACATCTGCTTTAGCCACTGTTTAAACAATGGGTGCAAAAACCCAGGGAAAAGTATAAAGTACATATACATATATGCATGTAAGCAACAAGTCTAGATTTGTAGAAAATATCATTTCTAATAAAGAAATTACCTGATGAGTCATGCTTAGGTCATTAGTGTGTCTGTTTCATTGTGGCTCTATTCTAGTCCTTCCTTTGTATATTCAGTTCTGTGATGGTCACAGGGCAGTTGCCTTTCTAGAGCTTAGCTCAGAGGGAGTAAGACTAATATCAAGTCATGTTATCTTTTGCTTTCTGTTACTAACGTGATACCTTCATGGTTTCTGTGTTCAAAAACAAATTCTAGGGAAGTGGCACGCACGCACGCGCGCGCTCTCTCTCTCTCTCTCTCTCTCTCTCTCTCTCTCTCTCTTCCCAGATATAGAGGTATTTTCCACGAATACATTTTCAAATGAAGCGTCCTCCTCCCTCACGTTCTAGCAGAGGTCTGTGTTGTGTATTCAAAGTCCACTTTCTCTCCTAGAAACAGAGATGTGATTCAATTTGAAAAGTGGGTCAAGGCAGGAGTCATTTATGAATGAGTAAAGCCTTTTATGTGATTAATGATGGCATTAGTAGATGGTATCTTAAGTAGCTGAATCCAAATATTTTTCCATTTCTGCCCCTTACCGCTAGGTCTTACCTGCAAGCTGCTTTTTCCTATCACACGAGGGATGTTAGGATTTTGATGAATGGACAACCCATCAGAACACAACCCGGCGTCTTATCACCATTTATGAGCATCTGTTTAAGGTTGATTTAGCATTTCAAACATTCGTGGAAACAGGGCCTTTCTTTAGAGCCGAGGCCAGAGAAGCTTTAGCGTTCTCTGAAGGAGGGCACAAAGGGATACGGACATGATCAAAGGACAGGGTTTCTCATCCTGTGGCTTTAACCCTCAAATGCAGTTAATTCTAATGACCATCATTTAAGAATTTGTAAAGACTTTTTTTTTTTTCATTTTGAAGAATGTTTTAAGAATCCGGTAATGAAGGTGCCTAGGACTCTTAATGTCAGAGAGATCTGGGAAGATCCTAGATAGAGAAAAAGGAACAATTTCCCCTCTCCACCTCCAGGGCAGGAGAAATATTGTTTCAGCTTCAGTGGAAGATGAGGAGCCTCTGTGTTTAGAGGGTTTCTCCTCCGGGTGCCTAAGCAGGCGGTGGTGGGTGGGCCCAGCGAGCATGAGGTGGTGGGGAGAAAAGATCTGAGGAGAGTGAGAAGCGTGGCAGGTCTCCCCATACAATGGGTTGAGCACCAAGAAAACTACACCCACCTAAGAGCCCTTATCCAGGTAGTAGCACGCCAGACACCATTCAGAATAACACCGCAGAGAATAATGTGACAGAATACTTGCTAAGCACCTTTTCTGTGATGCACAGTGGGACCTTACATTACTTCATGCACACAGGTGCACACAAACACACACGTGTTAGTCACCATTACAGGTATTATTTCTCAGAGTGGAACTCTAAGGGAAAGGCAGTGTGCTGGATAACGATCCCATCATAACAGGGGGCCATCATAAATGTGTCCTGAGGGGGTTCCTATACAAGTGCTTTTACCAGCATTGGAAACACGGGGCAGACTGCGGGGCGTGCAGCAGGACCACGGGAGCCAATGGGGCATCTCTCCAGCCCCATCACTGGCCTGTCTTCCTTCCGTGGAAGCTTTCTCTTTTATGTAAGAAGAGGAGAGGCTTAATGGAAATCCTCTGTGAAAACCAAAGGAGCCTTCTTCTCAAACCATATTTGTTAATGAATTGACTGGTCAGCCCATTAGTTCCATGTAAGTTAAAAAAATAATAATAAAGTACAAGGACTGGAAATGCATCATACATTTTGTTTTTGCTTAGCACTAAGGTAATATAGACTTCCAGAGAGTCAGAAAAAAAAATGATCTCTAGTCAGATAAAGTAAGTCAGGCAAAGGTGTTAGTTCTTTCTGGATAATAAATGAATAGGAATAAAAGTCGTGTGTGTAGAGAAGGAGAGCATAAAAGAGCGTGAATGAGCATTTAAATTGTTTATATATTTTTATTATGTAACTAGAGGTCTGGTGCAGAAAATTCATGCATGGAAGGCTGGGGTGGGGGTGGGATCCCCTCAGCCAAGCCTGTACTCTCTCCAATCTGGTACTTCTTGTACCTCTCACAATCTGGGACTGCCTGCCTGCCTGATCACCCCTAACTGCCCCCTCCCCTCCCACCCTGCTAGCTTGACCATCTCTAACTGCCTCTGCCTACCGGCCTGATCATGCCTAACTGCCCCCCTACCAGGCTGGTTGCCCCAACTCTCCCCCCACTGCTGTCCTGGTCGGCCCTAACTGCCCTTTCTGATGGCCTGGTTGCCCCTAACTGCCCCTCCACCAGCCTGGTTGCCCCCAACTGCCCCACCACCAGTCTGGTCACCCCAACATCCACCCTACTGGCTTGGTCACCCCCAACTGCCCCCTTGCTGGCCTAGTTGCCCCCAACTCTCCCCTCCCCCCCACCAGCCTGGTCACCCCATGCAGCCTGCTTTTCAGTTGTTTGGTCAGACCCTCACTAACCCTTCCCTTCTGGCCTTGTTGCCTCATGCAGCATTCGGTTGTCCATCTGGTTGTTTCAGTCATGATGGCCCCTGGCTTTTTATATATTAGGATAGCTAACGAAGAGTTTGATGAAATAAATTTTCTGCCTTTTCTTCCACATTTTCTTGTATAATACGAAGACATATTTTTTTAAGCTAGACCTCTTAATTTACAAATGATAAGCATATTACAAACAGAGTTTCATGCTTCAAATCCTAGTAAAGTTGAAATCTAATTACCTGTATATGGATCATCCCTGGTAGATTCTAATTATAGATTCATCCCTATCTCTCTGGTGTTCTCTTGGCTTCTTTCCCTGAGAGTCAGTGGGACAGGCTAAGTGACCTAAGTTGGTTTTAACATTAAGATCAGGGAAAACATGGCTTACAGTTTTCAATCTGAACATGCAGGGTCTCCCGGTGCTGTGCTTCTGTAGCATGGAGAAGCAGAAACTAACCTGGTCATCATGAATGGAATTGCATATTTTTTTTCCTTTCTACAAACTTAAAATATATTAGTGCTCACAATAGTCATTATGCAACTGAGATATCGTCTGTCTATGGCATTTGTGCCTAATTTGCATTCTTTGCATCTTATTTACTCATCATCTGGTTATCTCATATTTCATGCACCAGTGCTAGGGCCATGGCAGAAAACCAGTGCCTTGTATTTGACTTCTTAGTAGCACCGAGTCAGCATTAACTTTGGTTTAGGAATATTGAACAATCTACCCGTTTCACTTCAGAGATTCTTTGTTTTGGGGAGAGAAATAGCTTGGGGTTTTGGAAAGTCAATATTTAAAAACATAATGACAGGAGAATGGATGCCTAATTTGGCTCGAGATCATAGTTCTGGAAACAGTGTAGGGCAGAGGGAAAGCTTGCTCTGACACCGTGAGCTGCTGAGGACATACGTATCAAAACATGGAGGAAGTAACAAAATAGGTGGCCAGATGCATTTCCATGTGTGTCATTTTCTGTGGACGGGATGACTCACTGCAGTGAATGTATACATGAGGACGGTTAGCATTCTCTTTATTTCCACTGACCACATTTTGAATACATGCTTGTTAACACAAAACTCAAAGTTTATTGTTTCTACTTGGGGGGCGAGATTTTAAAATGTATAAGTACAATTGGATAAAATTTTGCTGACACTAGCTGTAACTTTTAAAAACAATGCTGGCATCTTTTAATAAGGAAAAGTCACAAGAATACCTACCTGTACAAATGTGATTGTTCTTACTAAAAGCAACGCAGAAATGCAAACAGAGATCCATTCCAATGTGGTTGTGTCTCCCTCCTCGCCACATGATTAACGATGGTTACGAGACATGCAGCCGAGCTGGATAGATATTTCTGGAAATGATGCATGGTTCGCAGTGCATGCTTCCATTGTGCTTCCCGCCTCTATGGAATAACGCGTCTTATTTGGAAATACAGTGACCATCTCTGTGGAACCGAGGGGCCGGCCTGTGTACTCACACTCCTCTTCTGTGGCCCATTGCAGATCTCAGAGAGCTACGCCTTCCTACCCAGAGAGGCTGTGACACGGTTCCTCATGAGCTGCTCCGAGTGCCAGAAAAGGATGCACTTAAACCCTGACGGAGCCGATCACAAAGGTAGCGCGGGGTCAGAGGGTGAGCTTGAAGGTGGTCTTAGTCACGGTGACCATTGGTGGTGGCCATTGGCACCTTACGTTCTTTTTTTTCCTTTAATTTCTTTATTAATTAAGGTATCACATATTTGTCCTCATCCCCCCTCCCCATTTCCATCTCAAACCCCTCCCCACGCATACCTCTACCCCCCTGTTGCCCATGACCACTGGTTAGGCTCATATGCATGCATACAAGTCCTTTGGTTAATATCTCCCCCTTTCCTCCACCCTCCCCTACCTTCCCTCTGAGTCCGACAGTCTGTTCGATGCTTCCCTATGTCCAGGTCTGTTTTTGTGCATCAGTTTGTTGTTCATTATTTCCCCTAGATGAGTGAGATCATGTGATACTAGAAATACACTTGTAAGAACCTAAGGGGAACGCGGTGGACGAAGCAGTTCCACAGGTGCCTCATTTCATCTGTTTGGGTGGGACCAGGGAGCTCTGAGTGTGGACGCACTGGACAGCGTAGTGCCCACTCTCACAATAAGGACAGGGTTGACCATGAAAAATATTTTTTTTCTAAAATAATGCCTTAATATTCACGCATGGTGTGTATTTGGTGGTATTTTAGACATATTCTCAAGGAAATGGATGTTCCTTTGGTGTCCTTTAAATCTGCCAACTCCTTATTTCTAAGTGATGGATCGTATGGAGTTCCTTCATTGGAAATTCTTCCATACAAATTGTAATTAGGCTTTAGCTTTCCTTAAAACATATCTAAGTTTATTTTTATAATCTATACAATTCTCAGATTAAATTAATCTCAACTATTCAGCTAGATTACTCAAGGATGAATAAATAGACTGACAAAAAAAAAGAGCGAGTACATATATAAAATAATTTACATCAAAAGAGAAAAATGCAAAAGTACAAATAATTGTGCTTAATTACTATACCGCCTTCAGTCATTGTTACCCAGGATAGCAAAAGTCCCCCCACCCCTGAAGTTAGAAATAACTGTTTACCTACAGTGCGAATTTGTCTCTGAAGAGACTCGTTATTTTCTCTACAACCCATCTCTGATGCTTGTAGTCTCCTAGGCCAGTAGTAGGCAAACTCATTAGTCAACAGAGCCAAATATCAATAGTACACGATTTAAATTTCTTTGGAGAGCAAGATTTTTAAAACGTAAACTTCTTCTAAGGCCACTTCTTCTAAATAGACTCAGCCAGGCCATGGTATTTTGTAGAAGAGTCACACTCAAGGGGCCAAAGAGCCGCATGTGGCTCATAAGCCTCGTTTTGCCAACCACTGTCCTAGACACAGTCTCTGGGGTCTCGTTTCTGTGTATATAAGCGGAGTCCTTCTGAAAGGGCAGGTGGGACTCAGGACCCTTCCATAACCCACTCAGCACGTTTCCTTGCAGACAATGGGAAGCCTCCCACGTTGGTGACCAGCATGATTGACTACAACATGCCCATCACCATGGCCTACATGAAGCACATGAAACTACAGCTGCTCAGCTCACAGCAAGACGAGGTAAGGCGGAAACACCCATGTTTGTGATCACACATCGGAATGCCGTTTGATAACCATGACGGTCTATGGAGCACATGGGTGGAAGATGGTGATTTATTTCTTAATGAAAGGCAGGTCACCAGGATTGCACAGACAGAGATCGTAGAGATTCCCTGTTTTAACAAATCTGCCGACAAATCTGCCGAAGTCCCAGGTGGGAATTTGTTCATTCCCAAGAAGGTTCATTTTCTGTAATGAGCTCATCGAGCTGGCCTCAGTACAGTGCTAGAAACTTCGGGGCAGAGTATCCCAAATGAGTATCCAAGTCTTTATTGCTAAGGCTACTTTGTCTGGAAATCAGAAAAGTTAATTTAATAGGTATTTCAAGTATAGTTATTTCTCTACCATCCTAATCTTGCATATATTTTAAAGTTATCTTTCAACTGACCATTCTATGTATTTGTTTGTCTACTTCTATGCATTTGCTAGATCTAGAGACAACTTGTAGTGATTCTGCTTACTAGAGGTGTTTTGATGTTTCAAATTATTCTACTTAATTTGTATAGAAACAATCTTGGCAATGTTCTTGTTGGCATGTTGTATTAGACACAAAATGTGCATTTGTTGAATACTCTCTAGAATGCTAATTAACTCCCCAGTTTAGTTGAAGTATATCAGAGGCAGGGACCAAGTTATCAAGCTGTATATATGCCCTGTGCATATTTCCCCAAAGACATAACAATATAGGCCTCGTAAGTCCTTATTAACTAGTTAGTAGCCATTAATGAATACATATATTTAGATTATCTATATTCAGAATAATTTCTCAGGCTAGTAAATTCTCTAGTCCTTAAAATTTCACAATAACAGGAATATAATTAAACATTCATTCTTCAAATATAGTGTTACTTGGTGAAGTACTATTTCATTCTTTCAAAATTACTTCGGTGAGCTAACTTTATAACATTAAAATTAAATGTTTGGTTTTCTTTATCTCAGCCAATTTAATTTCAAAACTATATTTATAAAATTGTTTTATCTCAAAAAAACCCAAAACTATACAGGTACACTCTTTAAAAATATCTGGATTACTGCAACAGTAGTGTCGGATTCCGTATTACCAGATGGCTCCCTATAAATGGATAAATAAATTATAATAAAAGTAGAGGTCTGGTACATGAAATTCCTGAAAGGGTCGGGTCCCTAGGCCTGGACAGTGATCAAGGCTGATCGGGGCCTTCCAGCTGTGGGCCAGGGCCTCCCTTCGTTCCGTGCCACCCTCTGGTGGTCAGCACACATCATCATCACAAGCCATAGAATTTCCAGTTGAACTCCTGCAGGGACAGTTGCATATTAGCCTTTTGTATGTATCGACTATTGGGGTACAGTCATGAGAAACAGTTAACAAAATATTAATGTCAACCCACCCATGAAATTGGAAAAATTATTCCCATGATTCATTACATAATTTAAAAAAATATATTTTCTCTCTCATAAACTAGTTAGCACTGTCAAAGTGTTTGTAGAAAGCTCATTTAGATGATGACATGTTGATTACGAGGCCATAAAGTAAGATGATCAACTTTGTGCCAACAATAGACCTCTTATATGCTGAGCCCTTCTGGCTTCTAAAAAATTATTAGTATTTCACACAAAGGCATTAGATTCTTTCAAATTTATAACTGGATTAAGAAAACAAAACCTTATTCTTAAATTTTGAAATACCAAATTAGATGTACATTGTCTTAAAAACATGCAGATAAATGATGAGATTATTTAAAAATTTTAGCAGTTGTAACTATAGGAAGATAGAAAGGTGACTAAGGAAGTTAAGTCATGTTAAAATGACATTCAATTGAAATTGTCTTTTCTGATCAGTTGTATTTGAATTATGATAAATTCAATATTTATTGAATACCTTCTATATAACTGATACTCTTGTAGATAAGGGGGGAAAAAACAACAGTAAATAAATTGACAACATTCTGCCTGCTCTGTTTTTCAATTTCTCAGTCTGTAAAATTGGGATGAATCCTGGTACCCAACTCCAATAGTTGTGATGAAGATGAAGCAAGCGAACCAATATAAAGAATGGTGTTTGCAACATACATGGCAGCATGCTACTATTAATTATATCAATATGGAACGTTCACCTAAAACACAAATGAGATGCAAGCCTAGTGATTTCCATTAAACATTTACTATATTTTACATGGGTTTCTCAGGCCTTCCTGTCTACATAAGCACGCCATTTGTCCAAGAGTCAGTTCTCCAAAAGGGGTTTCGTTCAGTGCAATGTCTACTGCAAAATATTTTAGGTATTGTTTAATATGGGACAGGTTTTAATGAATTGGCCATTTGGCAAACTAGCCTTTGGCTAATTTAGCTATTTGGTGAACTGGCTTTCCGTATGTGGCTTTTTCACACTTTTCCTAGAACTCTGATTTGTGGCTGCAGCATGATGTATATTCCCTTGTGAGGACAGGACAGATGTGCTAGGCCGTGGTCAGCAAACTGCAGCTTGCGAACCACATGCTGCTCTTTGGCCCCTTGAGTGTGGCTCTTCCACAGAATACCACGGCCTGGGCGAATCTATTTTGAAGAAGTGGTGTTAGAAGAAGTTTAAGTTTAAAAAATTTGGCTCTCAAAAGCAATTTCAATGGTTGTACTGTTGATATTTGGCTCTTTTGATTAGTGGCTTTGCCTACCATGGTGCTAGGCTGTCTTGCTCCCAGCAATGTGGTCTTGGAATCTGGCATGTATAATAGGTTGGTCTATTACTAGAGTCCATTTCCTCTTTGCCGATGAGTAGTTTTTGGTTAATTTTTTTTATTGCAATCTTAGATTTTTGCTTATAATATTTTATTAGGTCATTCACTTTTTAAAATCGAAGCATGTATTTCTCTTTAAGCTATGTTTTGTGATTGACTCTAGGAAGTTTTATGCTAATTTTAAAAAATCCATTTTTTTTGTAATTCAGAATAAATTCCCAACTATAACCTCCCTAAACATATAATTTTATTTAATTTACTTGTTTTTAAAATATGTTTTTATTGATTTCAGAGAGGAAGGTAGAAGGAGAGAAATAGAAACATCAATGATGAGAGAGAATCATTGATTGGCTGCCTCCTGTACGCCCCACACTGAGGATCGAGCCCCAACCTGGGCATTGAACCATAATCTCCTGGTTCATAGGTCAGGCTCAACCACTTGAGCCACACTGGCTGGACTAAACACATTATTTTACCTTCTAAATCTGCCCGGACATAGATACATGGCTTGCATCTTTACAAGTCTTGAAATTCCTTAACAGGAGAAATTATTCCATTATTTGTTATTTTAAGTATCTATTAATGTGTAACATGTTTTACTGAGTTCTGTAACAGTAATGAATAAACTCTCATTGACCCTACTGATAAAATGGTCACTATGTAGATGTATAATATTGTCATCTTGCTTGATGATGTTTTAAAATCATTTTCAGGATGAAAGCTCAATAGAAAGTGACGAATTTGACATGAGCGATTCCACGCGGATGTCAGCCGTGAACTCTGATCTCAGCTCCAATCTCGAGGAAAGAGTGCAGAGTCCCCAGGCTCTTCAAGGCCAGCAGGACGGTAAGTCCTTTAAACTAAAGAAAGCATACCCCACGCAAAGCAACAACAGTCAGAATTTATGAAAACAACTGCCGCTTACTCTTGTGTCAGTTTGTTACCTGTTTCTGAGGGGGCTTTTTCTGTGTACTCTGGTTGCATTATCCACTTTATTATTCTGGGATTCAAGTACCTTGCTCAAAACTGGGGTGTTAGACTGATTTAGAAACAGACGTTAGTTGTAAAAGTCCAAGCTTGCCCATGTTTTGCTCCATGAAATATTTTGGGTTTCTAGCTGTGGTTTCTCGGGCTATCATTCTTCTGACTAAATGAAGAGCTTAAATATGATCATGTGGGTAATTTGGATTTTTTATTTCACTAAAAGACATGGTGGTAACTAAAAACAGTGGATATAAAAAGGTAATTTTACGTAGTGATTTTGCTGGGTAAGAAGATTTTTGCTGGGAAATTGAGCTCCTTTACTCAGCTGTACAGGGAAGAAAGATCATGATGGGGTTTTTTTGTTTTTTTTAATATCTTTATTGTTGAAAGCATTACCAATGTCCCATTTTTTCCCCATTGACCCCCTTTCCCCTGATGATCTCTTATGTTCCTTGGCCCATTGAAGATTCCTGAATCACCCCTTGTTCTTGGCAGAAAGAAAACTGGGTATGCAGAGAAAGTAGATGTGGTAGTTAAGATAGTTAAGGTCTAATATTTCCAAAGATCTTTAAAAACTATCTTTGTAGATTTTTGTCTTTGTAAGTTTGAAGTTTGCATGTAAGTAAATGTATTACTTGGGTAGTTATGGATTAAAACTAAGGGTTATAAGTAGAAGGATATGGGCCAATTTTATTCAACATCAGTTTTTTATTCTTGTAATGAGTTTACATGGATTTTCTGTGACTGTATAGTTTTGTGCCTACATCTGTAGAAGGGAAATAAAAATATTTCCTTTCACCAAACCGATGTCGCTCAGTGGTTGGCACTGACCTATGAACCAGGAGGTCATGGTTTGATTCCTAATCAGGGCCCATGCCAAGGTTGTGGGCTCGATCCCCAGTATAGAGCGTGCAGTGAATTGCACTCTATGTAACATTAAGGGAAAGAATGAATATAAAATAGATGTCATATTAGATATATAAGACTTCATAATATAAGCTTTATAACGGTACATAGGTCAGCAAAAGTAGGTTTACAGCTATATGTGAAACAGTTTATTGTTGTTTATTACTTATTACATATTGGATTATTTCTCATACACGCAACTAGAAACCTTCCTTTGGCCCACCCTTATGTGCTGTCTGTATGCTGGAGTCCTGGAGGAAAAGAAGGGAAATATCTTGCTAACAGGCTAGATGACCAGGCAAAGAACAACAAGACAGACTGGAATGAAACATTTAGAGAAGAGTGCTTCAAGATAAATCCATAATACTTAGCTAATGCTGCTTATTTTAACTTTATAGTGCTTCCTTTGCTCAATAAACACAGAAACTAAAAAAAAAAAATGCATAGAAAGTGCATAGGGAGTATTTAAAAACATTAAGTAAAATATGTTAAGCTACTTAAAAGATTTTTCTGGAGACTTAAAATACTACCTTGAGGTTAAACTCTCTTAAGGGTAAGCACTTGCTTTACTCATAAATGTGTGAACGAGGTCCTCACAGCCTGTGGAGTGAAGGGGCTGACTGTGACAGCGGCTCCCTTGTGTGCAGGGCTGCGTGGCACTTCACGGAATTTCGAGGAGCGGTCCAAGGATCCAAAGCTGTGTACTCACAGGTTCAACAGTTTGTAAGTGTGCTTGTTCTGCCATTCACTTACATACATTGTAAGTAGAAATGTCACTTAGGCTTTTGTCTTTAAATCCCAGATCCTAGAAATCTGTGGGAGCATGGAGAAGCTAAAAAAAGTATTCTTAATTGATTATTATTTTTTAATTATTTATTGTTTAAAGTATAATTACATACTGTATAATAGTACGTGTCTCCTTTTTTCCCATTGACCTTTACCCGGCTACCGTGTTTCCCCGAAAATAAGACATCCTCCAAAAATAAGATCTAGTACATGGAAAGATAAGTCATCCCCTGAAAATAAGACCTAGCACAACTTTCGGAGAAAAAATTAATATAAGACACTGTCTTATTTTCGGGGAAACAGGGTATCCCAACCCCCTAGCATATGCCCTCACCCCTCTAGTGTCTGAGTCCATTGGTTAGGCTTATATCCATGCATACAAGTCCTTTGGTTGATCTCTTCCCTTACCCTCACCCTTCCTTCCCTTCCCTCTAAAGTTTGACAGTCTGTTCAATGCTTATATGTCTCTGGCTCTATTTTTATTCATCAGTTTATGTTGTTTATTATATTTCACAAATGAGTGAGATCATGTGATATTTATTTTTCACTTAGCATAATGCTCTCTAGTTCCATCCATGCTGTTACAAATGGTAAAAGGTCTTTCTTTTTTACAGCAGCATAGTATTCCATTGTGTAGATGTACCACAGATTTTTAATCCACGCATCTGCTGTTTTCAAATCTTAGCTATGGTGAATTGTGCTTCTATGACCATAGGTATGCATATATCCTTGCTGATTGGTGTTTCTAGTTTCTTTGGATATATTCCTAAGTGGGATCACTGGGTCAAACGGGAGTTCCATTTTTAGTTTTTTGAGGAAACTCCATACTGTTCTCCACAGTGGCTGCACCAGTGTGCATTCCCCCCAGCAGTTGCACAAGGGTTCCCTTTTCTCCACATCCCCTTCACATCCTCTTCAGCACTTGTCCTTTGTTAATTTTTTGATGCTAGTCATTCTGACAGGTGTGAGACGGTACCTCATTGTCATTTTGATTTGCATCTCCCAGATGATCAGTGGCTTTGAGCATGTTCTCATATGTCTCCTGGCCTTCTGTATGTCCACTTTTGAAAAATGTCTCTTTAAGTCCTTTGCCCATTTTTTTAAAATTGGATTATGTTCCTTTTGTTAAGAAGTATGAGTTCCCTACAAATTTTTGCGATTAGGCCCTTATTGAATATAGCATTGGCAAATATGTTCTCCCATGCAGTGGGCTCTCTTGTTTTGTTGATGGTTTCTTTTGCTGTGCAGAAGCTTTTTATTTTGATATAGTCCCATTTGTTTATTTTCTCTTTAGTTTCCATTGTCCTAGGGGCTGTATCAGTAAAGATGTTGCTACAACATATGTCTGAGATTTTGTTGCCTATGGAATCATCTAAGATTTTTATTGTTTTCCATCTTATGTTTAAGTCTTTTATCCATTTTGAGTTTATTTTTATGTATGATGTAAGTTGGTGGTCTAGTTTCATTTTTTTGCATGTATCTGTCCAATTTTCCCAACAACATTTATTGAAGAAACTATATTGACTCCGTTGTATGTTCATGCCTCCTTTGTCAAATATTAATTGAGCATAATGGCTTGAGCTGATTTCTGGGTTCTCTGTTCAGTTCCATTGGTCTATATGTCTGTTCTTGTGCCACTGTCAGGCAGTTTTGAGAACAGTGACTTTGTAATACAGCTTGAAATTTGATATTGAGATCCCTCCAACTTTGTTCTTCTTTTTCAGGATTGCTGTGGCTATACAGGTCTTTTTTTATTGCAGATGAATTTTTTGAGAGTTCGTTCTAGGTCTGTGAAATATTCCATTGGTATTTTAATGATTGCCTTAAACCTATAGATTGTTTTGGGTAGTATGTGGACATTTTAATGATGTTGATTCTACCAATCCATGAACATGGTATATTCTTTTTACAGCCTAAAAACAGTTGATCTATATTTGTTTTTTTTTGTTGTCTAAGGTTATTTATTAAAGGATATATGGTCACTTTGGCTGGTTTTTCTCAGAGGTTAGAGCATCAGTCCGCAGACTGAAGGGCCCCAGGTTCAAGGGTGTGTATTTCAGTTGCAGTTTCTATCCTTGGTTTCCCCCACTCCCTGATGTCTATGGGAAGCAACCAATCAACCAGTCGATGTCTCTCCCATAAGGATGTTGTGTTTCTTTCTCACCCCCTCCTTTTCTCTCTTTAAAAAAAGAAAAAAAATCAATGGAAATAATATCCTTGGATTAGGATAAAAAAAGCAAAAAGGAATATCTGGCAAAAGAAAAGTGTCAAATACAGAAACAGACTCATAATAAATATTCAGCCTCATTTTATAGATGAATGCAAATAATTTTAACTGGTTTTCTGAGTTAACACCTTATTATAAACTATTAATACTTGTGTAAGGGAATTTTTGTGCTTTATTAAACCTAAACAGATTATTAGATAACAGTAAAATTTTTATATTTTAAGTCACACAATTTTTAAATTTTTCTCTTTTTGCCTTTTTTTAGATGACAGGAATGCAAAGGGAAGTTGAGGCAAACCCTCAACTCCTTGCACATGAGCTTAATCAGCTTTAAAATTAAGAGACTGCAATAAGAAATAAAGGATACAATGTCCTTTAGTCATTATTTTTAAGATTTTGGTGTTGGCATCTCAGAATATTGCTCTTAAGGAGAGAGTCATCACTGGCCCTGGGTTGTCTTTTTGACTCAGTGGAGTAGTGTAGAAAATCTTTAATATAGTTTTTATTTGTAGTGTTTGTTACTTCATTAATTTATCAAGTAGTGGCTTGTTTATACATTTAAATCTTAAAAGTGTCCTATCTTCCAGGACAAGGGATGTGGTAATATCTAGAAACAAACAAAGAGGGAAAAGGACCTGAGAGTTAAACTTTTTCTGAAAGAGTTCAGCAACATTTACCTCAACTTCTATCTGTGATGAACTTTAAAAAATGTATTCAAGGAAACTTTTTCATTCAGAAATCTATTTGATAATTCTATCAGCATTTAGAAATACATAGTTCATTTGCCAAAATTTTAAAATCTCCCCTTTCTGCATAATACTTATATTCTAGAAATGTATTGATATGCTTTAATTGGTCAGGTCATTTTTGATAAACAGGAAAGAAATTGAATTTGTGTCTAACCTGTACGCAAACATTTAACTGCAGTGTGGCTGGATAAATA